AAAATTAACAGCAATAATCAAAAGGAAAAGGAAAAATGAAGTCAAGAGTATTCACAGACTTTCTACATGACAGCAGTAAAAGGTACTTAACTTACTTTCCCTCTGACCATGAAAATCTACAGGTTGTCAGACATGTTATTCAATGCTAAATTTTACAGCTGTTAGTTGTTTTTTAAATACATGTATACACGTTGTTGTTGCTATTGCTATTTTTCCTCCCTGAGATAGGATCTTGCTCAGTAGTGCAGGGTGGTCTCAAACTCATGATCCTCCTAAGTCTCCAGACTGCCCGTATTATTGGGCTGCACTATCACCTTGACCTAAATTCAGCCATAAATGTTAAATGCTTTGCTTCCACAGTACTTCTACAAAAGCTCAGACACAGTCTCTCCATTTTGAGTTGGTTCAGAAAAAAGATTAAACTCAGGTTAATTAGCTGAAGCAGGAACATTTGATAAAGATATATATATATTTCCAGTATTAATCCAAGGAATCGAGTTTCCTACCTATTATTTCAATCCTTGTTTCAAAGATCAACACTCACCTCTCAGTATTTAGTTTTCCTCGAATGCAGAATACTCCAGCAGCATCTGAATCTAAGCGAAATACATCAAATTCCAGTTTATCACCCACATTTATCTCCAAGGTTTGCCACTGCTCAAATGACATGTGCTCAGGCTTAGGGATGGAGGCATTAAAACACCCATGTACTAAGCAGCCAATGTGACTAGAAGACACTTTATTAACTGTGCCCTGAGGAGGAGGAAAGCAAAAGACAAAGCATCAAGAAGAGAGCCAAAGAGTTAGAGGTCAGTCACACTTTATAAATCCCAATATGACCCTCCGAAGAGAAATGAGATTAATGGCATGTTTTAATATGGAAAAAGTTTATCTAAATACAACTTACCAAAATGTAGAATAGAGATTTTAGAAAACTTTACCTTCATTAAATAAAAAGTATACATTTATTATAAATGGGTAAACAATAACTAAACTAAGCCAGTTCTGCCATGGCATTGGTGCATTCCCTGGCATTGGTGCATTCCCACACTATAGATAAATGAATTAAAAAATGTATGTCTGACATCCTAGACAAGACAGCTAGAGGATATCACAAAGATCAATGGTTGCCAAGAACTGTTGTTGTACATGGTGAGAATTAGCAGGTGGAAAAGAGGGGAATTCTAGGACAGTGAAAATGTTCTATGATGCTGAATAGATACCACTGTCCATATGTGGAAACCCAGGGAATGTCCAACACAAAGGGGGAACTCCAGTGACTGTATGGGAGGGAGAGCAGGATGGCAACTGAGTAAGATTCTCTGGCAATCTTTCCCCCTAATTACAGCTATTCATAAACTAGAAGACAACTAAGATCAGCTGAGAGACCACTGCCTGCTTTCAGTATAACAAAAGAAAAGATGCACTGAGGATGGCAGAAAGTACAAGGTTTTCCTCCCCCAACTCCAGGGAGGAGAAAGTTACCACCCACTTGAGGGATAGAGGAGAATTAAGTTCAGGCTGTAGACGTTAGGCCCTGTGCCAGGCCTGCAACAGGGAAGGCCAATGCTGGGCAAAGCCCCACACCCCTACGGTCAGCTAATACTCCAGACTGAACTGCTGGAATTGTGCTGGGCAGGCAGGAGATGCCTCACTACTCCCCTTCTAACTTTACCCAGCAAAACAAGGAGCAATAATACGAAGGCTAGCACAATGTTCTGTGTCAGTCTCACTGTTGGGCCTGCTGCTCCCAGTGGAAACTCAACGTTCAGAACACAGAGCACAAAAAGCCTATATCCCAGTCCCAGCAACAAGAGACTTGTGCACCTGTTGAACAGATCTGAGTTTCATTTGCATCAGTTGGTGTGGACCTGGAGAACATGCACTCTTCTCTGCAGATGTCTGTGGCTCTCAGATTCAGGTGCAAGAGCCAGCCTAGCACCAGCCATGATGGCCAAGGGACTATCTCTACTGCCACCTGCCTCCTAATTTAGGTCAGTGTTCAGAGATGAGGCTCTAGAACACACCTTGATACCAGACAGAGAACTGTGCCCCTTTGGGACAAACTAGTGTTTTAGTCTGCATTACCTCTAGCTGCAATATAGACCTCAGTATACCACTGAAATTGTATAGGTCCTTACAATTCTGAGGTTCAGGCACGACCCACCTTAGTATCAGTCAAATTGGCCAAGGATCTGCCTTTACCAACACTACCCCAAAGTTGCACAAAATTATAAAACAGATGGAAAAACTCTTAATAAGTTGAACTTAATAGTGTATCAAAAAAAATCAACATGATGAAGTTGACAAATTTCATTATATGATTTCAAAAATCGCATGACATATACAAATCAGTAAACTAATTATGTAGCTAAAATTAAGGATAAAAATCATGATCATCTTAATAGAGAAGAAAAAGCATTTGATAATTTCAACATTTATCACAAAACTGAAGCTTGACAACTGCACAGAAATCAACTAAAAATGGATAAAAGACATTATTACAAAATACGAAACCCCGAAACTAGAAGAAAATAAGAGAACTATGTCAACATAGCAATAAAGGCAGTGGTTTTTCTGAGTAGGACACTAAAAGCACAAGAAACAAACAAAACACAAAAATGAGATTGCCTCTAACTAAAAAGCTGCTCAGCAGAGGAAGCAAGAGTTAAAGAGACAGCACACAGAACAGGAGAACGTAACTGCCCACTGTTCTTCTGGCACAGAACTACCATATGACTAGGATATAACAATCCTGCTCATATGCAAGAGGAATAAAGTCAACACAGAAAAGAAATGTCTATACGCCTGTGTTTATTGTGGCACGATTCACAACAGCTGAAATACAGAATCAGCTCACATGCCAATCAAAAGATGAATGGGTAACTATGGTTTACATAGACAGAGGAATATTGTAGAATAAACATATCCACGAGAAGAATGAAATCCTGTTATTTGCAGCAAAATGAATAGGACTGGGTGCATCAGACTAAGTGAAGTCAGTCAGGCACAGAAAGACAAGTACATATTTGGTCTCATATGTGGAAATTAAAAAATCATTCTAAAAAGTACCCTTGGAGTAGAATAGTGGTTACTTGGGGGTGAGAAGGGTGCTGGGAGAGGGTAGAGGAATACAAATAGAGAAAATTATACAAAGAAAGAGGAGAAAATGAGGTACATACCACTAACTTTTGCCCTGGTTCAGGGCAGAAAATAACAAAATCTGCTTCAATGTTAAGATGAATGTGTCCTTGATCATCATAAATATCTCCTAGTTCACCCACAACTCTGATGTTATCATATGCAATAGGGACACCTAAAAGGCTGTTAAAGAAGAAATAGAGAAAATGTTATTATTAATTCTGTTATCATTAATTCTCTTTTACTCTAATCATACTTTTAATGCCTTTGATATACCATCTATTCCAAAATGAAAATACGATCACACTTAGTCTTATGGACTAGCATACGGGGTTTTTAGTAGCTGCAGTTTACCAGAGTTTCAGTGTGCAAGTTAAGTTAAAGTGATTATCTACATGGGTATTCAGAATCATGTACCAAAAATAAACCGATACCCCCTTAATTGCTACCTATCTGAATCACAGTCACACTAGAAGAAATAATGGGACATGGCACAGAAAATGCCTAGATACTTGAATGACTAAATGAGGCAATTTTGACATTATCCACCATTACTGCATTTCTATGCCTGATAGTACACAGCAAGGGAAGCACAGGGAAGCACTACAGTTAAAGCTACAGCCTCTGATTATTAGACCCAGTGACTTCATACAGAAAATCTCAAACTGAAACCTTTTCTAGTAAGGAAAAATGTTAATGTATGCAATTGCATTATTTGAGAACTAAATTTGACACTTAACTGAACAAATTTCAAGTCAAGAATAGTAGGCAACTATTATTTCAACAAGTTCTTTTAAAAAAATAATAATACCAGTGCTGGAGAGATGGTAAAGCAGTTAAGAGCACTGACTGCTCTTGCAGAGGACCCAGGATCGATTCCCAGCACCCTAAGAACCCTCAACTCCAGTTCCAGGGAAATCCGAAGCCCTCTTCTGACCTCTGTGGCATTGTACAATACGGATGCACTCACATACGTGCAGGCAATGCACTCAAACACATAAAATAAAAACAATAAAGAAAGAATAATAATACCGATTTGATCATTTCATATAATGTATTTTGACATACAATGTATTTTGACCATACTCGGACCCCTCTCCCATCTCCTCTCAGATCCACCTCCCTTCTTCCTAATCTCCCTCATACTTCCTGTCCTCCCTCTATATTTTTTAAGGCTACCAGTTCAACATGTGTACCCCAAATACTCTTGGGTGTGGGTCCATGCCCTGAGCATGGTCAAACTATCTGGCCTCACATCCTGACTTTCCCACATCCAGCAACTATCCATTGCCAAGAGCTCCTCAGCTCGGCTGGGGCTTCATGCCCCCCTCCCTGTCTCCTGCTGGAGTTTTGTCTAGCTTACACTTGCACATGTCTTCTACATGCTATCACAAGCACCGTGGGTTCATATATACAACTGCCCTATTGTGTATGGAAAACACGATTTCATTGTACACATCCACCACGCCAGCTCCTCCAATTCTGCTGCCTTCTCTTCCTCAGTACTCTAGGGTTAGGGTGTGAGACAGATGTCCCACTTAGAGCTGAACACTCCAAAGTCTCTTATTCTCTGCACTGACCAGATGCAGGTCAACAGGCTAATTTGTAACTAAGGAGAAAGACCTGTGAGCTTTACTACTACACTCACTAGTGCCTGAGGAAAAACTCCTTGACTCCCAAAGAAATCATTTAATTACTGCACGTAAAAGTGTATTACTATTCTTTACCTAACTTTATCGGATCCATCTGTTTACACATTGTGATCCCACACACAAGTCTACGGTCATGGATAGTAGAAAACGTTTTTGTTGGCTTCATTTAAATTTCTGGTATAATTCACAGTAAGAGAAAGGATTTATTCCTAATAGATTTTACTTCAATAAAACAGCCAGAACCCATTAGGAAGGAACTTTAGCTACCAAATTAGGAAAATCCTAAACTCAGGCTTCCTCACTCTTTTGAGTTTGTTACTGCTTTCATAAGCAGGAACTGTACCATCACTAAGGCAATATCAGGGACATTGAAAATGGAACAGGAAAGAAAAACAAAAAGTAATCACCACAATTGGTAGTAAAAAAAAAAAAAAAAAAAAAAAAAAGTCCCTGTTTTCTCTACTCAAAGCTTCTCCATACAGAAAGTGATTCTCGAGTGAAGGGAGCATGACTGATCCTTTGGAGGAGGCATTTCCAACACAAGGTTCTGATCATCTTTAACACAAACGCTGCAAAAGTAAGGGAAGGAGAGTCTACTATGTACAGGACAGTTCAATACAATACCTGCAAAGCCATCTCTATGCATAATTCTGGGACAAAGGGCAAGCCCATTTATAAATAGCTGGGCATAAGATTTAACTTAAAAAAAAAAAACCATATCAACATCAATCTGTCACCTAGCATGTTTTTAATATTGTGTATGTAAATACAAGAGATTGTGGGGTGCTTTACCAAAAATCACTTAAGTATTTCAGAAAAGCATTGGTAACTATAGATACAGCATGCATTATTTGAGTTTTCAATGAGAAATGACTAATCAATCCACATTAGTAACTCCAACACTTATCAACAACCGTTCTCAAGTGCAGAAAGCATCTAACTTCTTCAGTCTTCCCAGTTACGCTTGAATACCACACATTCAAACAGTTCATGCGATTAGAGTATCAAGAATTTTTTTGTGTAGGTAGGTGGTATTTAGTTTTAAATTTCATTTCAGTACACTGAATGATATTTTTGTAACATCCCAACACTGTTATCTTTTCTTATTTTTTCTTTGTTTTTTAAAAGGCATCCCAAATAGGTATCAAGTCAATGTAGTAACCTTACCTAAGATATTTAGGGGACAATTAAATCAGGTTTATGGGACATTAGACTGAACACTTACGACTTCTCTGGGACTACTAGGAGAGGATACATCTTTAAGTCAAGGCTGCCAAATGGAAGAGAATGGCTTTTCTTTTATTCCCACCTCCCTGCTAAATGGCCTTTTAAAGGTTCACCTTAGTCATAAATTATGATGTGATTTTAGAAAACTACTTACTTTCTCTAAGAGGACAGTCCAAAGTTGAAATAGGATACCTTTTTAAAAATTCTGCCACTGGGAAAGAAAGGTAGGTAGTCTCTCAAATAGGAAGTGTTGCTGAGATATCTTAAACGTCAGTATGGGAGCCATTCTCAACTTCTCTATTCCGTCTTTAAAAAAGAAGACGACTGTTGCTAAAGAATGGTCCTCAAGTCTGAAAGCAAAAACTATACAGGGTAAAAGGTTGATTGATACTATATTCAATTCCCAATATTCTTAATGTTTGTCCCCTTCTCTATTAATACTCTAATAACATTGTGTAGTACCTAACCTGCACTGAAAAAAACAGGCTTCTTTAGCAGACCTCACTAGTAACAGGGAAGGGAGGCATCCAGATCTACTGAACACTCTAGCCTATTCTACATGGCTGCGTCATCCAACTGTGTAACAGAAATCATCAGTCTCTCATAAACCTGGGGTAATGCTCCTATTAGACAACTCTAGGTGCCTTTCTCCTAGTAGATGAAATAACTACATTTCCATATTTCATGACCACCTTGTATCGTCTTAAACCCTCTAAACTCCCTAATCAGTTTTCTTAAATGTAAAAAAAATCCTAATTTATCTCTTTATCTACTATTCCATTTATTTAAAATATCATATAATTCTGACAGGCATGGTGAAGTGCACCTTTAATCCCAGCACTTGAGAGGTAGAGGTAGGCAGATCTCTGTGAGTTCAAGGTCAGCCTGGTCTACATAGGAAGTTCCAGGCCAACTGGACTACAGGGAAAGTTTGTCTCAAAAAGATCAAAATAAATAAATAAAATATCATATAACTCTAAATTGTTTTTTAAACTGTATACCTGATCACATCCTAGGGGCTAGAGACATATACTACTCTTCTCACAGGGTATGTCAAGTCTCAGAGCTGGGAATAAGAGAAAGAAGCAAGAATAGTAAAACAAAACAGAAAAACCAGAACAGAAACAAAAAGCCCTCTCAAACAACAGGGAAACTACTAAAGGCAGAAGGGAAGGAACACAATGGCTATCTACAGAGTCAGCTCCCAGTCTCTGATACCCTACTCACGAATCTAGGGGCACTCAATGTCTTCCCCTGACATAAGATAAGCCTCAGTGAGTTAGATAACATTAGCAGCTCTCTGGTTCAAGATACTAGTTTAAATTTACTTCCTATTTGTTTATGCCATTGACTGACCGAAATGCTACCATCTCAAACCCTCAGTATATGTGGTTCTCAAAAGCTACAAGATCAAATTTAAAACTTCTCTCACTATAACTCAACTTAGGTTTGTGTCAAATTTTAGCATGTAACTGGATTTGACTTACATTTATATCCCTAATAATAGCTCGAAGTTCCTTGAAACTTGGATTTTTTAATCTTTATATCCCAAGTCCCTAATATATAACATAGACATAGATGTTACACACTGGTTTAAAGGAAGCTGCATATTCTGGGCAGGTCGATTCTTAATGGGTTTGATTGTGCCACAATCTGTGAGAATTTGGAAACAGTTCCTTATAATTTGCCTAAGCAAAGTCACATAGGAAATCCGAGCAATTTCCGGGTGTTCACGGAATTACTGGGGAACAGTGATGCCTTCCTTCCCAGGGAACCTATTCCCCTTATTTCTGAATTCCTCTTTTGTGCCAAAGTAAAGAAGAACATTATAGCATCTATCTTTCCCTTGAAATCTGGAGTTTCTTAATATAAATGCACTCGTTTTTCTGTTTTTCACTCCCAAAAACGATAGGCTGACGACAGATGAATCAACTTTCTACTTCTAAATACAATACAAATGCTTTGCAATGAAACGGCTTACCGATGTACATATATGTGTTATCTTCGTGGAAGGAACAGCAAATGTTCGTTGTCAAGTGAGAAAACATTACCCGGAAGTGGCTATATCAAACTTTCAGCACCCAAACACAGCCTACTGGGTCTCTAGACACAGGCTGTACCCTCGTCCCCACACCTAGAAGGGCTTCCAGCACTCCAGCAGTGGCCACTGTCACTTCACCTACCGTTTCATCACGAGATGGGCCACGACAGTCTGGGCCCGGCTGGGGGCAGGAACACGAAGGCAGACGCCCGGGGACCAGGGCGACCCGCAGCACCCGTCCCATCTCTACGGCGTCGTGGGGTCCCGAAGATGCTGTGCAGCGCGGCCGGCTCCGGGCACAGCTGAGCGTGTACCTACCTCTCGGAGTAGCGCAGGAGCTCGGCGTCCAGCTGCTCACGGATGCCCGAGCGCTTCCGGCTCAGGTAGCGGGGCGACAGCGCTATGTGCCTGCGGTGCGGCACGGCCACCAGGCAGGAATAGCGGCCGCTGACCAGCGCGCAGGCCGCGGCGTAGCTCGGCAGCTCCAGGCAGGGCACTACGCCCGCCGGCCCCGCCACCGGCCTCTCACCCGTTGGGGGAGGCCGGGGCGACTCTGAGCACCCGGCAGCCATGCGCCCGGTCAGGATCTCGGCGCCCACTGCTGACGCAGGCACCACCACCTCGCCTTTGACACCTGCTTACGTCATCCACCAGCGACCAGGGTCGGGGATATGATCACCTAACGGTGCATTATGCCACTGCGACCAGCAGGGGGCGACCGTTCCCATGCAACTAAATTTAATCAGCCCAGGGTTTAAGTAAGGAAATAGAGTTCCATCTTCACTGGAAGGTATACTCGCCGACTGGGAAAGTTTGATTTTATTGATCTGGGCATTCATATCTAAAAAAGCAGTTCCCCGATTTAGCCTGAGTGTGTTTGCTTGTTTGTTTTTAAATTCCTCAGTGATTTCAATCCTGAGTGGGGACACGTGGTAATAAGAGTATTTTCTTCATTGGATTTAGCGTCATATTAGTAGGAATGCCCTTTGCAGTGACAACGTGGCCTGATAGAATTTTACAAACTTGGGCTGAACAATGATGAATCAAAAGTATGTATGGACTGTATTTTCGATGGTGGAGCCAGGCCTACACAGCCGGCTGCATACTGCAACTGCAGCCTCCATGGAACCATCGCATCTCTCCAGTCTGGTTTCTCTCTTGCTTCTGCTGTACTACGGTGTGTGGTGTCACTGCTTTTTAATTGCCTAGGCCCAGCTGCCAGTCTCAGGCTTTTGCTCTGTACCCAGATACTAATCAGATCAGTAGGAAATCACGGAGCTGCCCCCAAGAGGAAACCACACCCTATTTGAACTGCTCTGTGTCCTAGCACCCAAATTAGCCTATGGAAGGCTAGCTTAATGGTTACGGGCTACTCTGGAGATATCTCTAAAACACAAGATCAAAATGTGCTCGGTTTATAGTATGCCTCTTTAAAGGAATTCAAACTCCTTAACATGGCTCATAAGTTACTGTCCCATTTTATGATCTCCCTGTTTACTGTTAATCGGCTAGCTACCTAACTATACTCATGGCTGAATCCAGTTTCAGCATACTTTTTTCTCCTTTCCTTCTTCTCTCTTGCTTCCCCCTTCTACCCTCCATCCCCCGAGCCCTTTCTTCTAACAGGGAATAGTTTCCTTCAAATTCTAGTTGCATAATGTCAGTGTTTAGCTTAGATTTATACATTCTCATCCTCCACAGTTTACTACCTCCAGACCACTCTTTCCTTTTAAGGATCGGGTAGCAGCACCACCACCACTTGCTTCAATGTTAATTTTACATTAACTAGTCATTTTCTTGCCTGGTTCATTATTAGATTACAGTTACACTAGTGAAATATTTGGCTTGTTCAGCACTGCAGCCTCCATATAACTCAACACCACAACCCTTGAACAATCAATGCATCCTAAGTGAATGCCTGGATAATGCTGAATAAATGAGAGAAAAAAGCAATGACAAAGAGTTCACAGCCTAAACAGAAGTGGGATCCAAGCATAAACATTCAAGAGAATTTTCACAAGTTTTGTGCCAAGACGTGTATAGCAGGGAGTGAGTGATGGGACTTTAACTTTCTTTCCTCTAGAAATCTATTTTCTTTTTCTCTTTTTTTTTTTTGTAAATAGATATAATAATACCATTTCTGTTTGAATACCATAAAGTAATGGTAGGTGATTCAGATATTCAAATAAGATAAATAGAAAGCATTTACTATCAGTTAAGATTCATCATGGGATGAAAATAGGATGAAACAGCTCTCAAAGTCCAGAGATAGACCTTTAAAGTCCATAAGTGGGAAACACACTGAGGTTCACCGTTTACTAAAAATTCCTGGAACACTGGAATAGAGGACTCGTGTGTTAATTGGTCTCAACGCTGGCCAACCATTGAAATCAACCAAGGATCTTTAAAAAATATGATTTTAGCTGAGCACGGTGGGGCACACCTTTAATCCCAGCACTTGGGAGGCAGAGGCAGGTGGATTTTTGTGAGTTCAAGGCCAGCCTGGTCTACATAGTGAGTTTCAGGACAGGTGGGGCTACAGGGAGATCCTGTCTCAAAAAGACAAAAAAAAAAAAGATTTTTTTATTCAGACTAAATTGAGCTTCTACCTTTTTAGATCTATCTGAATGCCCAGACCAATCAAATCACACTTCTGGTAATTAAGTATATCTTGCAGTGAAGATGGATCTATACATGTGGCAAGAAATTTTAATGAGAACAATTCATCCTAACAACACTTTAATGAAAAATTAATCTGGATTATTCAATCCCCAGATAAACTTTGCCCATAGTCAAATATCCAAGTAATGGCTTTTAACAACTGTTAAGTGTGATTGTACCAATTTGGTAACTGATCTTGACTGTCAACTCAAATGGCTTGAGCAACACCTTGGAAATTGGTAATGTGAATCCTTGGATATGTCTATGGAGACATTTTCAGTGAGGCTCAGAGTTAATGGTTTAATACACTGATAGATAATGGATTAAATTTTTGAGCAGACTAGTGTAGAAGATGTCTACCTAGGGAGAGTGGACACCTGAGGCCAGGTATTTGAAGGGTTGATCTTGGCCCTGGCCCATTCTGTAATTACTGTTGCCTGGCTACAATAAAGTGAGTGATTTGCTCATCCACACTAGTCTTCACCACGATGTTTTGCATCACCATGGCCTGGAAACAACAGACCCAGCTGACTGTAGATTAAGACCTGAAGCTGTAAGTCAAGATGAATCCTTCCTCTCAAGTTGTCTTTGTCACAGTAATGAAAACACTGTGTTGCCACAACTCTGGAATAGTTTTGTGCCCTTTATGTGTCCCTAAGCATTAATATA